TATATATATATATATATATATATATATATATATATATATATATATATACATATATATATACATATATATTAGCAGAATAAACTCGAAACCGAAGCAGGAATATAGAGCTTTTCTGCCGTGCAGTCTGCCGTGTCATCGCCACGCCAAGAGACGCCGCAAACGAAATAGATAGATGCCGACTGAGTTAGTGTTCCTAGCGGTATTTCTCTGCTTATAATGAAGTACCTTTACGTGTGTAATGGAGTGCATTTAGGTGTATACTGGAGTGCATTTAGGTGTATAAAGAAGTACATGTATGTGTGTAGTGGCGTATATTTAGCTGGAAGACCCCGCGCCACTGCACGCGTATCGATTCAGCTGCAACACCCATCTCATCACATTGTCTGTATTTCATGTCTACTGTACAGACTGCACGTCGCTCCCCTTTCATTATAAAAACTAGACAACTGCATGCTTTCTTGTTTTCTTAGTCAATTATACATAAGTGTACGGCAGGGCCCCTGCAACAACACGGGGGCCCCTCTCTGGGGGCCCCCCACCACTGTAGTGGGAACGACCCCACCATGGTCGGGGGTGTCTTCTGCCTGTCTGCTTTGTTTTCCCTTCAACTTTCATCTTTTTAATTGAATAAATTGATTAAAATTTTCTTCATTCTGAGACGGAGATTCCCCCGTGGCAACGCGTTGAGGTGCTGGGCCGACAAAAACAGGAAATACAGAATACGGTAGAGAGCAAGCAGAGCAGAAGACAGAAGAAGAATGTTTGCAGATGCTGTTGAGAATGGATTGGCCGATATTTCTCTTTCCTGTCCTTCAGAACCTGCCTCTTCTCTTGGAGAGGGTGCAAGGGTCGACGGCTGCAGCTCTGAGGGGATTCATGAGAGGGGGAGTGAGTTGCTGCTGTCTGCGCTGGAGCGCCTAGAGGGAGTGCATCTGCTGCCTTGTCACATCAAATACACCGGTTTCGCTTCCGTTGCTGAGCGATTCCAACCAAGAAAAGTGCGCCCGCCTGCTGCAGCAGGCGTGTCTGCAGAGGAAGGAGAAGCAGCAGAAGAAGCAGCAGCAGAAACAGCAGAAGGAGAAACAGCAGCAGGAGAAGCAGCAGAAGGAGGAGATGCAGCAGGACTGGAGGTACTGCTGCATGGGCGTTGGCTGAAAGGGAAGGAGGAGCGCCTGGCCCCAGCAGACTCCTCTGCTGCCTCTGGCGCTCTTCAGGGTTTTGTTATGGCTACACAGGAGACGACCTGCTGCTTGGGGGAGCTGCGCAAGTCCTTCACTGCTGCTTCTGCTGCTGCTGCTGCTGTTGCAGCTTCAACTCCCGATCAAGACTGCGTGGTCACTGAAGAGATCCCCAGTACAGTCACCGCACTGCGCCCTCTGGCGGAATTCAACAAACTGTGGTGTGTACACACTGAAACCTCTTCCTGTAGTGTTTCTTCTGTGTGTAAGCCGCGACGTAACCACCTGAGCCTCACTGCTGCTTTCTTACTGCCTACTGCCGCTAATAAGGCTAGTGCTGCTGCTATGGTTTGCTGTGTGTGCACTGCAGCTACTGGCAGCAAGACCGCGAGCCTACGAGTGCTGATGATATCCCTCAGAGCCTTTTCTTTTTGCGAGCTATGGCCGCCGTACGTTCCTTCTCCCTATCTTGCGCTGTATATATATGCAGTGCAGTATTTGTCTACTTGCAGCTGCACTAAGGAATTACTGCTCTCTTTGTTGCGTGTTTCATGTATTCATGTGATCTGTATGCACACGTAAGACGGAGAGCACCAGCAACATGAATGCATTCATAGCCGCAGTTCTGCTCTGAGCCAAACGTGTTGTATGCAGCTGCACGACTACGAAGAGGAACTGAAGGAGTGAAGCTTGGGGGCAGGGAGACAGACTAAATATTCTCTCTTCTTCTCCTCCGGTGTACATCGAGCAGCACAAAACCTCAAGTTTTATTGTTATATATCATGACGTGCGGCGCCATGGCTCTTTGTTATTTCGTTAACACAAACAGGGGAGCCCCAGCAGCAGCAGGGGAGGCGGCGCTGGGTGCAGTAAAGGGGGAGGCATTCCTCCATGCGGGTTATACTGATGTTTGGTTGTTAGCTGCTTTGTCTTTCTTTTTCTCTCGTTAAGTCATTTGAAGCAGCTGAACTAATCGAGCTCTTCACTGCAGTCATCACTGAACTGAGAAGCACCGGCGACAGCGAGAGGGGGAGGAGGCGGCGGGTGAAAGGCATATTCGTTCTTTAGGGCAACATCCCGGTGTACACCTAGATCCCTGATGAGTTGCTTTGGGGTTAGTACTGAGGTGGTATTAGGCACAAGGACTGTCTCTCTGCTCACCAGTCCTCGAAGTCGTCGTTCTCTGTGTGCGCCTCGCGAGCCGCTTCAATGTCCTTTTCTACTTGCTGGTTAGCTCGTTTGCAGCAGCCACAGGAATATGCAGAAAAGAAGGCTACACACTCACTGGAGATACCGGTCTGACTTTCATGGGTTCAGCCACCTCCTGCAACTGCGGGCCTCTTGCCTCGTGAAACATCTTTGCGAATCGCCGCAGGTGGCTCTGCGCAGCACCTAGCTCCTCTTGCATTTCGGTGATCATGCTCGTAAACCCTTTTGGAGATTCGTTTTGCATTCCAAGGGAATGTCGGTCGTTAGAAACAGAACGGGGTCGCTTCATCGCTGTGACGGAGCTGCCGCCAGAGAGAACGGCTGAAACGGGTTGCGGGCGACGCATCCTCGCGCTGCCGCAAACGGGCAGAGCGAAGATGACAAACAACAGAGAGCAAAACATCTCCTGACAAGAGCAACATCATTATCTTCAAGTTTCCACATGCATCGCCAAAAAGTCCACTGGGCTGATCTTGCAGGTTTTGCTTTCATGTAGCCGCTTCACGAGGTACACGTACACCCGGAAACCCCCAGGAATCCCCAGCAGAGTGCAAGCATTTTCACGGCAGCATCACGACTAGCAGCGGGACCGTCGAAACGTGCATTACACCGTTTGCCATTAGGCAGTTTTGAGTGTACATACACTCGAATTACACCTCTACCGACGTATCCTATCCATGAATCTGCACGGTACATGCAGTCGGGGGGAAGCGCCACGAGCTCAGATGGTCTTTTTCTCAACGCACTACTTTGATTCTGCATCTCCGAGTCTTTGCTGCTTTCACCTGAATTCAGGCTAGTGTAGAATGGGCTCAATGCCTCTTCCTCATTGCTTTTTAGCTGATGAGATCTGGTCCTACTTGATGGACCCCAGACTCGTCAGAACTAGATCTGTTCTGGCTTAGGAAGCTGGCTGCAGCGTTTATTGTTCAACTCGTGCACGCACTTCATATTATATAAACACACTATACCTGTATCCCTTCTGTCAGCAACTGTACCTGTATCTATAGCTATATCTGCATCTCCTCTCCCCTGCGCTTCCTCCTCACCCCCGTCCACTGCAGTTGATCGCAAGCGATGGTTAGACAACAGCAGCTTCGTTGCGTAGGAGTGGAAGATTCGCCACGAATGGCCCAAGCGCCGCCTCAGCCCGCTTGCTTAGGTCACGGCATTCAGGTTGAACTGTTTGCAGCCCCGAAGGCAGCAGAGAGCNGCCTCAGCCCGCTTGCTTAGGTCACGGCATTCAGGTTGAACTGTTTGCAGCCCCGAAGGCAGCAGAGAGCGAACGGATGCGATGCAGGTTAACTGAGACAACAAGTGCAGTTGGCCTGCAGTTGCAGTGCACTTGCAGGGAGGCCTACGCTTGGCACAGCTGTTGCTCAGCTCAGCGTTTGCCTTACAGCTTCAGAAAGGCATATTAAATGCCTCTCACATACGTAATAAATATATAATATATATACATATATTTAGATGTATATACACGTTATAGGGTGGCTGCAGCAGCTGCTTTCGCGTCCGCTGCCACCCCAGATACTGTTATTCATAGCCTAAGAGAGCGAGTGCAATCATTCCGCCTATCAACGTCCACTTGATTACAGGGTAGTCGTTCAGAAGGATCGTGACCTGGCCAACGTAGGGGAGGTAGACAACGGTGGTGCCCATGATGCTGGAGTCCTTCAGCCACAAGTCTTTATCTGCATGCATGCATACATGCAAACAANGGTGGTGCCCATGATGCTGGAGTCCTTCAGCCACAAGTCTTTATCTGCATGCATGCATACATGCAAACAAGCCATGCAAAACGAGTGTTTTATATACTTATAACTGCAGAGCTGCAGCTGCAGCTGCAGCTGAGCTGAAACAAGCGTCACAAAGAAAGCAAAAACAACGGAATAAATAAGGCAAAACTGGCTGCTGCTGCTGCTTCTGAGCGTACTGGCATAGAGCCCCCTGTCATCGACGTTGTTGTTGTCTCCCTTCGTCAGCAGCCTCATTTCCCCCGCGCTGTTCGCATGCAGATTGAGGACGCGGTGTACAATGGGGATGTCTCTGCCTTCAACCTGAAGGCAGCCACAGCACCAGTACTAGCGCGGCTTAATCATATGGTTACACAAGAGGCCTCTGCAGTTATTCCTATGCAGCTCCTCTCCCTCTTGGCGACAGGGGATGAACATGAACAGGAGCAGCTCAGCTGTACAGGAGTCACCAGAACAGAGCCATGTGTGCTGCTCACCTTGAAAACTACGATGTCCCCCACAGCCGCTTTGGGGCCGTGATCCAGCAGAAAGAGAATATCGCCACGGCTAAAGGCAGGCAACATAGAGCCGCTCAGCACCACCACAACTGGAGATGGACTCCCCGCAGCCAACACCAGCACTTTCCATAGCATCAAAGCTGCACAAGCAACGAATACGCAGAGACAGATGAATGCATACATCCATGCATGCATGCAGTTCTTTGCATGCGTGACATCTGCATACATGCAGGAACAGTTGCAGGCCGCAGCGATGCAGACGCAACAGATGATGAACTCATGGGTTCGCTTGTGGGGCTTTCGGAGTTGAGCTGCATCTTGTCTTTGTTTGCTCCTGACAAAGGGGGATTTGCACTGGGGGCGCTTGACACGGTGTTTAATTAGAGAGGCACCTGAGAGGATGATGCAGCAGAGGCTGAGAACCGTGTGGACAGCATCTCGGGGTCTTCTGAAGAAATGCTGAACCTCCCTCCAGGCGGAAGCCCCGAGCTTCTTGATGTCGTTTAGCATCTCCTCGTCTTCTCCTCAATTCCACGCTCAACATATACCGCCTAGCCGGCCCAGCAGACAAAGAACCCGTTCAAGAGCTCACCTCCCCCAAGCGGGGGCAGCCAGACAAGCCCTCAGCTAGTAGGCAAGCCTCCCTCCAGATATGCTGCTGTTAGAGAAGGAAACAAAGGCCTCTCACGCGCCTCAAACTCTCGTTCCATCAGAGGGGCTGCCCTGGTATTTCCAGAGTCCAAATGCTT